CTCTTTTTTTTTTTCCTGCCGCGGCCACGAGTCGCGGGAAGGAATCGGTGACCGACTAGTGGTAGTGGTGGTGGTGGTGGTGGTGCGCGGAGGGCGCCGCCTGCGGGGGCGGGGCGGGGGGCTCGGCGGGCGGCTGCGGGGCGTTGTAGGGCGGCGGAGAGGTGTGAGGGACTGAGTCCGGGAGGCCTGGGGCGGTGAGCCGAGGCGAGGGTCCAGGGGCAGATAAGAGCGAGATGGGGAGGGTTACGGGGAGACACAGAGGGTCCGGGATGGAGAAAGACAGTGGGAGAGACAGAGGAGACAGGTGAGAAGCCATCTCGTTTTGGGGGCAGGAGTGGGCTTGTATCTAGGCCATCTGTGCTCCCCCACTTCTTTCTATCTAGTTTTGAGGTCACAACTCTCTGCTCTTCACAGCACGGGGCCCACAGCGTTCACCGCGGAGCAGGGCCTGCTTGGCTGTGGCTGCCTCGGGCCTGCCTTCTCTGAGCTCGTCCTGCGCGTTTACATGTAGCCATGCAACACGGCTTTAACGTGTGTCAGTTCAACACTGTGCAAGCCGTGCCGGCTGACACGGCCCCCCCTGCCGTTCCTGGGGGCGGGGGGGGGGGGGGGCGGGGAATCTCAGTGCTTCCTTCTTTTAGGGCTGACAAAGGAGGGTCTGCTGGATTTTACTCCCCTAACAACCCGCATCTGATGGTGTCTCCATGCGTCCCCACTGGATGTCCCCATGCCAGCCAGTGCCATCTGTCCATCTGTCACTCCCCACGATGCTATGCCTGCAGCACCTGGCTGATGCTAAGCCACTCTCTCCTACTTCCCTTACTGCTTCAGCCTACCCCCTGCTGCCCACGTTGGCAGGGACAGAGGCTGAAACTGGAAGGAGGAAAGGAAGAGAAGGAAGAGGAGGGGGTCTAGGGGTGGCTGAGAGCTGGATAGACCTGCTAGGAAGAGGTAAGGGAGGGGGTTGGAGGGGGGGGCGGGGGTCAGGAGACCGTAGAGGGAGTGGGAGGTTTGGCTGTGGCGTTTTACCTGACTTTTCTGATGACATGCTTGCAGTCTCTGTCTCGCTGGGTCAGGGTCTCTGTAGCTGGAGTCGGGGGTCTCCAACTGGAGCTGGAGCTGGAGTCTGGGTGCAGGGATTGCGCAGCCAGCAGCGAGCGCAAGAGATGGAGAGAAGACAGCCGCGGAGGGTGGGGGTGGGGGGGCAGAGGGAGAACAGGGAGGGGGGAGAGCTTAAAGGGACCGAGGCGGGGTTGGGGGAGCTCTTCAGACGTACCCCCACTCGTCTCTCCTCCTCTCACCCCAGCATTCAAGCCCCCAGTTTGGGCTCCCTTGGAGTTGTCATGGAAACAGGGAGGCAAGCAAGACCAGGCAAAGTGGGTGGGACTAAGGAGAGGAAGGAGGGAGAGAGAACACTCTAGAGCCGGCCCCTCGGAGCCTGGCTGTAGTGATCAGCTGTGGGAGGAATGGAGTCGGTGCTCCTCAGATTCAATACCCAGCTCCCTGCAGGTCTGGCTCACTCCAGCGAGGCCGCTCCCCCGCCCAGCTCCCCCCAGCGCCCTCGCCCCGTCCCAGAATCTTCTCCCAAATTCTTGCCCCTGTCTCCTCACTTTAGAAGAGACAACTGTGTATGAGAGAGGTGTGTATGCAGAGTTGAGACCTGCGATGGCCTGGAAAGTTCCCAGGGTTATAGCTCCAACCCGCCACCCAGGCCTGGGCGAATGGGGAAGTACAGTGGGAGGCTCGGGCTGTAACAGTTGGGAGAAAGCCCCCTCCCTTCCCCATGGGGAGGGGGCAGGATGGAGGGGAAGCTTGGGGCATGCACCCATACTTCCTTCCCCCAGGGTGAAGGAGTTAACGCACTCTGGGAGAGGGAGAGGTGAAGGGGCTGCTCATTTCTGGCAGCTGGCTTGGGAAGATGTACTTGATCCCCTGTTCTCCCTTTGCTTCTGGGCTTCTTAGAGTTCCTGGGCCTGCCAGGGTTCAGATCCATTTATTAACCCCCTCCACCCGCCAAGACACAGTCACTCTCCTGGGCTGTGTCCTTCCCCTTCATGTCTAAACAGAGACCCTCAGCTGGGCTAGTCCCAGGCTGCAGAGATGTAAATCATGGCTCCTCATTCTGGTTTCTACGGTGTTTGTGGGAGCCCTAACCTGTACCACCACCTCATCCTCATTCCACACAACTCAGAGCTCAAATTGGTTCGATTGGGAACTACTTTAGACGAGCAAAGACCTTGTGAACAAGGGAGGGGTTCAGACAATCTGGGAAGTTCTTTTCTCAAGGGAAACACCTTTAAATGCTAAGTAAAAGCTCTAACTGGGGCTCCTGGTGTCCAAGGAACTCAGTAAGTGTCTGGAGGCTTTGATATAAAGAAATGGCAAAGATTTATCCAAGGATCTTAGGGTTGGCAAACTGGTAGCACAATTAAGCAATACTTGGAGTGTTCCTGAGAAGGAAGAACGGCTTATAGGGTACATTTTTCAGAAGAATCAGTTCATTCTTAGCCTCTGGATGGGTAGTCCTCTAGCTGACCAGCGGTCTGCACACTGGATGTCAGATGGTCTGGATGTCAGAGTAGTTTCTCAGTTGTCGGGAGGTCTGAGGTATATGCAGGCATTGACGCAGGACTAGAAAGTTCCAAAGTTTAAGTTAAAACAAGAATAGAATCATTTCTTCATACCGCAGCCTGCTTACCTTTAGTAACTTAGCAGCTTGGCCACAGTGAGTTCATTTTATTTCCTTAACTTCTTCCTGGGTTTTGGGTCAGGGTCACAGGTGGAGAGGTGGGGTGCCTGGGGCTGGGAGTCTGGACTGGTGGGAGGGTCTGGGTGGGGAGCCGCCCCAGGAGCTCCCAGCTAAGGGCCAGATTGTGGGGGTCGTTCTGGTTGAAAGTCTGGTCGAAACCACGCTAGCAAGCGTGAGTCAGAGCCGCCTCGGGAGCCCTCCACCCCTTCGGGGTGGATCCTTTCTGGGAGCTGCGGAGAGTAGGGCAGGAGAAACTGGGCCAGGCTGCTCTTAGCTCGAGGGGCCAGGAGGACTCTCCGCGCCTCGGGAGACAAGGGACTACACGCACTTCAGGATCAAGAGGTGTAAGAGGCCGAGCGGGCGGGCTGGCAGGGGCGGGTGGGGCTCGCCTGGACTGGCTCCAGCCCAGGGCAGCGACGGCGAAGCGCGGAGGACTGCCTTTCCCGGGGAGAGAACGTCGAGTTCCCTGCGGAGCCGGACCCCAGGACCCGGCACTGGGGCGAAGGCCTTCTCTCTGTTCCCAGGACCTCTCTGCTGCTTCTCCCTCTCCTCGCCGTCTAAATGGACCGCTCCGCCTCTGTCCTCCCCCGCTCCCAGGGCGCAATGGAAAGTTCCATGGTTCCTCCGGTCCCCGGCCTGCGTTGCCTGGGACGCTGGCACGGTTGCCAGGGAAAGCCCCGGATATGACGGCTGAGCGCGACCCCGAGCTGCCGCCCCGCTCCCCCCGTCCCTCCCGGGCGCACGCCGTCCTCCCTCCCCTCCCCTCCCCCCCGGGCTCCCAGACCCGGGAGGAGTAAACAGCGGGCGGGGCGGGCTCCCGGAGCCGGGCCGGCGGGAGGGTGCGCCCTCCCTGGGACCTGGCTGCTGCTCAGAGGTCCTGCCTGCAGAAGCCCGCTGGTGCCTGGCGGGGACGACGCTTTCGGGAGGTCCCCGCCGGGGCACCAGGTCGCCGCCGAGCTGGGGGCGGGGCTTCGGGTGCGCGCCCTGCGTCTGCGCCGTAGGGGGTGTGTTTGCGGGCAGAGGACGGAGTAAGTTAAAAGTTGGCTGTTTTGTGACCCGGACCTGGGGGGCCCGGGCGGGAGAGGCTTGATAGCGCGGAGTCTGCCCCGAGGGCAGGGGCCGTGGTCCGCCCTCACGAGCCCCCCCTCCCCAGGTGAGAGCATGCCGGGGCTCCGGGGGCCGCGGCTGCCCCCTGCGGGGATCCTGCTCGCGCTGCCCTTCCTGCCGCTGCTGCTGCTGCCGGCGGCCCCCGCGCCCCGTCGCGCTTCCTACAAGCCGGTCATCGTGGTGCACGGGCTCTTTGACAGCTCGTACAGCTTCCGCCACCTGCTGGACTACATCAACGAGGTCTGGCCGGGACACCCGGTTGCGGGGCGTTGGGGGCGTCTGCGGTGGCTAGGGAGGACGCGTGCGGAACTGAAAGCCGCCCCTCTGGCCTGCCGGTTCCTCGGGAGCTGGTGCCGGACTGGGGAGAGTTGGGTGGGGGACGAGACCCCCGGTTCTAGCGGGGCACAGTAGGCACTGGCGCAGCCAGGGGTGGAGTGGAGGGCTTCGCAGTCCACCCCCAGCTGCAGCATTGCCGCTTCCCACAGACACACCCTGGGACTGTGGTCACGGTGCTTGATCTCTTCGATGGGAGAGAGAGCTTGCGGCCCCTGTGGGAACAGGTGCAAGGGTTCCGAGAGGCCGTGGCCCCCATCATGGCAAAGGCCCCTCAAGGGGTGCATCTCATCTGCTACTCGCAGGGTAGGTGACCCCCTAATCCCAAGCACTGTCTGAAGCTTGATCCTTACCTGAGGGGCACTTCCTAGTGTCCCCTTTTCTGAACCACATTGTCCAGCAGGACCCCGGTGCCTGAGCCCTCCTTTCTGACTTCCCTCAGCCCCTGGGCCTCATCTCTGTGTCCTCAGTGGACACGCTGCTACCCCCTCCCTTCCCCATTACCCATGGTTCTTGGCCCTAAGAGAGAGTGAGGGGGGCAGTAAAAAACACCCTAGAGTTAGGGTCAGAAGACCCCTGGACCTAAGTCTGGCTCTTGGCTCTGTCACTTACGTGATAGGGACCTTTTGCCACAGGACGTGTCTGTTGTCTGGGCCTCAGTCTTCCTTCTGTACGTTGTGGTGGGGGAGGCAGTGTGGAGACTGTTGGGCTGGCTGTCCCTAAATCCCTGCCCATGTGGTGGCCTGCCCACAGGAGGCCTGGTGTGCCGGGCACTGCTCTCCGTGATGGATGAACACAATGTGGATTCTTTCATCTCTCTCTCCTCCCCACAGATGGGACAGTATGGAGGTCAGTGGGTACGGTGGGCTTCATAGGGGGTCCCGAGTTTGGGGGGGGTGCCACAAAGGTTTGGGTCTACTTGGCGCCGCTGTTCTCTTGCCAGACACGGACTACTTGAAGTGGCTGTTCCCTACCTCCATGAGGTCTAACCTCTACCGGATCTGCTATAGCCCCTGGGGGCAGGAGTTCTCCATATGCAACTACTGGCATGGTGAGTAGGGGATGCTAACCTGGACCTCCATGGAGGGGTACCCTGGAGGCTAGGGCCTGCTGCTCCCCCCTCTTCCATAGCCAATAGCAATAACGATAGTGATAACTTATATTTATTGAGCACAAAATGCTTTATGTGTATCAGCTGTTGTCTCAGAAAGTACAGTGTGGTGCAGAGGTCAGCAAACTTTTTCTTTAAGGTGCCAAATGGTAAATATTTTTAGTTTTGTAGGCCATATAGTCTCTGTCACAGCTCCTCCGTTCTGGCACGCCTGTGTGAAAGCCGCCATGTGTCTGTTCCAATGAAACTTCTTTTACAGAAACAAGCAGTGGGCCTAGTGCAAAAGCCTAAGGTGCTTTTCAAGACCATGGATGCTGGGTCCAGGCTGCTGGAGTTTGAAGTCTGACCCTGCTGGGTGCCTTTGGGTGTTCCTTAGCCTTCCTGTGACTCAGTTTTCCTCAGCTGTAAAAGAATAATATCATACTTACCTTACAGGGTGGTTGTAAGCATTACATACATTAATGAGGACAGTATACTTTGAACAGTATCTGGCTCACAGTAGGTGCTAGGTAAAGGTGTTTGCTACCATGTTCACAGTTATTATTGTTGCTGCATTACATTGCTATTCACCTTGTCTATTACTGAAGGCTCCTGATGGGTCTTCCAGTCTCCGGTCCTGCCTCCTCTCCCTGCTCCTCTGACTGTGTTTCTAAATGCTGTTTGTGCCCAGATCCCCACCACGACGACTTGTACCTCAATGCCAGCAGCTTCCTGGCCCTGATCAATGGGGAGAGAGACCATCCCAATGCCACTGGTGAGGCCCCAGGCTTCTGCTTGGGTGTCATTTTCTGCTTTTCTGACCCGCTGTGTTCCCCCTCCAACTTGGCCTGGCCCCTGTGCTGACTCGGGCCCTCTCCTCCCAAACTGCAGCATGGCGGAAGAACTTCCTGCGCGTGGGCCGCATGGTGCTGATCGGAGGCCCTGACGATGGTGTCATTACCCCTTGGCAGTCCAGGTAACAAGGGACTGCATGGCCCGAAGATTCGCTAAGGATACCCCCTAATCCCCATCAGTCCTCATCGCATACCTAACACTGGTCCCCCCGTCCAGTTAATGCCTGTCAGCCAAGATCCAAACCTGGGAGTCATCCCCCAACCCCTTGTATGTAGCCAGGCACTACATCCTGCTGATTCTATTTCCTCTCCATCCCTACCACCCCTAGTTTTATAAAAAACTTTTAACTTTGAAATAATTGTAGATTCATAGGAAATTGCAAAGATGGTTTAGAGAGGTCCTGTGTACCCTTCACCCAGTTGCCCCAATGGTTGCATCTGATGTAACTATAGCACAGTATCAAAAACAGGAACTTGACATTGGTACAACGTGTGCAGACATTCCATGCCCTTTTAATCCATTTCCTGTCACCTCTTACTTACCTGGTCTGCTGTGATTGCCTCCTACTCATCCCTTCCACCCTCTTCCTCGGGAAATCCAGGTCCCCGTGGCACTGTGTGCGAGCCTCGGTTCCAGATCTCCATGAGTGCTCGGAAGTGTCACTGACCTCCGTAGGCACTCATTGAGCACTGCATGCCATGACGCTGTTCTGGGCCTGGGGAACGCAGCTGTCAGTGAAGAAGTCTCTGCTGTAATGTAGCTTACATGCTAGTGGGGGGACAGATAACAGATGTAACTGTCTGTGTCAGGTGGGAGTGAAATAAGGCAGGGGAGGGCTGTCAGGAGTGGAGCCTGTTTTAGGGAGTGGCCAGAGAAGTCCTCCGGGAAGAGTTGCCCTTTGTGCTGAGGCCGAGGCGGAAGGAAATCGGGGAAGGAGTTGTGCAACAGTGTGGGGGAGTAGGCCCGGGAGAAGGACAGCACCTGCATAGGCCCTGGGGCCGTGTGAATAAGGGAGCTGGGAGAGAGTGGGAGAGGAGGTTGAAAGAGGTAGCAGGGAGCCGTTATGTTGAGCCTTTGTAGGGCAAAGGCCCTTGACTTCTTTTTTTAAAAAAATATACACAACATAAAATTTGCCATTTTTAATGTATATATGTATTTATTTATTTTTACAGAGAGAGAGAAAGAGAGGGGGAAACATCAATCTGTAGCCGAGAGAGAGAGAGAGAGAGAGAGAGAGAGAGATATCAATCCGTTGCCTCCTATATGTGCCCTGACCTGACCAGGGCTCAAACCCAAAATCTGGGTATGTACCCTGACTGGGAATTGAACCCCACCACCTTTCGGTATACCGATGACACTCCAACCAGCAGAGCCACACCAGCCAGGGCAAAATTTGCCATTCTTAAATGCACAGTTCAGTGGCATGAAGTACATTCCATTATAGTGTGACCATCATTACCATCCGTCTCCAGGACTTTTTTTCCTTCCCAAACTGAAATTCCATATCCATTAAACACGAAATCCTTAGCCCAGCCTCCCCCAGCCCCCAGCAACCACGACCCTTGACTGTATAGTCTGAGTAAAATGGGAAGACATTGGAGGGTTTTGAGTGAAGGAGTAACATCCCTTATATAATAATAGTAAGAGATGGGATTTATTTACATTTCATTTCAGATCTACAACCCTATAAAGATAGTGATAGCTTGCAGTTACGTAGCACCTTTAAATAAAGCTCAATTTAATCCTCAAAACAACCTTTTAGGAAACTTGGGTGCAAAGAGATGGAATTACTTGCTTATGCTCATAGAGTTGTAAGTGGTGAAGTCAGGCTTTCTCTCTGTTAACCACATGTTTTCCTTCCTCGCTGCGAAGGAGGTATTTCTTACATGGGACACGGGGGAGCAGTAACATGCCCAGCTGCACACAGCGGGGAGTGTGGCAGAGCTGGAGTGCAGATCCAGGTCGATGTGTCCCTGCTGCTCTCCCACGCCTGGTGAAACCCAGCTTCTCCACATGGCCTCCAGGCCTCCAACCCAGCTCCCCGCGGGCGCAGCTGCGCCTCCCTCTGCGCCTTTGCTCTTGCATCCCATTGGCCTGCAGCAGCCTTCCCTAGTCCAGGGTCATGGCGGGGAAGCCTTTGTTGATGCTCTAAACCAGGGGTGCTCTAAAACGGGCAGGCCAGGTAAGGCCCCAGAAATCGTTTGGTCTGGCCTTGCCAAGGCATTAGGGGTGAATTAATTAAATGTTTGACCAAATACAGCAGGCTAATTTTTAAGTTGATAATTTGGTATGGCCATGGAATTATGTTATAAACTAGAGGCCCAGCGCGCAAAATCGTGTGAGACCCTAGACCCGCCACGCCACGAGACCCATCAATGCACCTCCTCGTGACCGGCCGTTTGGTCGTTACGGCGTTACGGCCACTGGCCTTTTATAATATAGATATCCAGATCGCCCACGGCAGAAAAAATGTTCCCCACCCCTGCTCTACACTAAAGCAGTGGCTTGTCTTTGCTCCTGTAGCCCATTGGACTTAGTATTAGCATTCAGTTATTCATTGCCAGCATCCACTCAATGCTCGTGCCAGTTATATATTCTTAAAAAACATGTTCAGAACTTTTTAAAAAATTTTTAAATACATATTTTTATTGATTTCAGAGAGGAAGGGAGAGGGAGAGATAGAAACATCAATGATGAGAGAATCATTGATCGGCTGCCGCCTACATGCCCCCTACTGGGGATTGAGCCCCCAACCTGGGCATGTGCCCTTAACCTGAATTGAACCCGGGACCTTTCAGTCCGCAGGCTGACGCTCTATCCACTGAGCCAAACCAGCTAGGGCTTAAGACCTTTTTATTTTGAAACAATCTCATACTTAAGAAGTTACCAAAGTAGTACAAAGCAATCTCATATACTCATCACGTAGTGTTTATAAATATATATTTCAGAGAGGGAAGGAGAGGGAGAGAGGTAGGTGCATCAGTGATGAGAATCATTGATCGGCTGCCTCCCACACGCCCCCTACTGGATGTGTGTGAGCCGTTTGAGAGTAGGTTGAAGACATAGTATCTCTTTATCCCTAAAACTTGAGTATGTTAGTGCATATTTCCTATATACAGGGCATTTTTTATAAGTCTGCAATACAATGATCAAAATCAGGAAATTAACATTGATATGGTACGCTATAGACCAGTGGTTCTCAACCTGTGGGTCGCGACCCTTTTGGCAGTCCAAGGACTCACAGGGGTCGCCTAAGACCATCCTGCATATCAGATATTTACATTACAATTCATAATAGTAGCAACTTTACAGTTATGAAGTAGCAACGAAAATAATTTTATGGTTGGGTCACAACATGAGGAACTGTATTTAAAGGGCCAGAAGGTTGAGAACCACTGCTTTATAGACCTTATTCAAATTTTTCTAATTATCTTTTTTGAAAAAACGTTTCTATTGATTTTTTAGAGGAGGGGAGAGGGAGAGAAAGAAACATCGATGAGAAACATCCACCGGCTGCCTCCTGCACACCCCCTACTGGGGATTGAGCTGGTGACCTCTTGGTTCATGGATCGACACTCAACTACTGAGCCACACTGACCTGGCTCTAATTGTCTTTTTTTTTTTTTTTTAAATATATTTTTATTGGTTTCAGAGAGGAAGGGAGAGGGAGAAAAAGATAGAAACATCAATGATGAAGCAAGAATCATTGATCAGTTGCCTCTTGCATGCCCCATATTGGGGATTGAACTGGGTCCTGACCGGGATTGAGCATGTGCCTTGATCAGGAATCGAACCGTGATCTCCTGGTTCATAGGTCAACACTCAAACCACTGAGCCACACTGGCTGGGCTGTCTTTTTAGGGAAAAAAAAAAAATTCCAGTGTAAGATCAAACCCAGGATCATGTGTTAGTTTTCATGTCTTTAGTTTCTCTTAATCTTGACTACTACCAAAGTCCTCTTGTCCGGGACATTGATATTTTTGAAGTGTATGGACCATCTATTTTGTAGAATGTCCCTCAGTTTGGGAATTCAGTGAAGTAATGCCGTATCTTCCATGCGTCACCTGTCATCTCACAGGGTGCATGATGTCCAGATAAATATTTTGAGTGTAATCCCTGCTGCCTGTCTCCCCAACAGGCTGTGAGTTCTTAAAGGATCCTACCCCACCTTGATTTTCTCCAACTTTCCTGATAATGGCCCACCCCCATCTCTTTGTAGCTTCTTTGGTTTCTATGACGCAAATGAGACGGTCTTGGAGATGGAGGAACAACTGGTGAGTCCCTGGGATTTCTTCATGCCCGTCCCAGCTGTCTGCAGCCCTCCCTACTGCTGACTCCTGAGCTCAGGGGTTCACCGTGGGAAGGGGCCTGAGACACCAGCAGGAGTTCACGGCGTCTCTCCTGTGTCTTTCTCCCATGCCCCTTTACCCTCCCAAAGGTTTATCTTCGGGATTCTTTTGGGCTGAAGACTCTCTTGGCCCGGGGGGCCATCGTGAGGTGTCCCATGGCCGGGATTGCCCACACGGCCTGGCACTCCAACCACACCCTTTACGAGACCTGCATCGAACCCTGGCTCTCCTGAGGACATGCCCAGGGGTCCCGAGGAACTCCCGGCCCAGAGACCAAGTGGTGGCCTTGGAAAGCGGATGTCAGGCTCCGTTGCGCCTGTGACCATGTCATTACTTGCACACTGCCCCCACCGACCAGGGCTCCCAGGACCCCCTCCTCTGCTCTGTGAATGACAAATCTGGGTCTCCCCCACCTCATGTCTTCATTTGGGGTGGCTCCATGCTCTCCCATCCTCCCAAGGCTGAGGTTGGGAAGTGAGAAACCAGGTTTTTAACTTGTGGCTGCTCCTCCATCTCTGGCTGTGCAGGAGGGGAACCCAGCCTGCCCACCACAGGGGTCTCCTCCCAGGCTGCTCAGGACATTGTTACTCTGTTCCCGCTGAACTCCCCCATTGTCAGCCCTCACCCCCAGGAAGGACTACCCATGAGAGCGGGGTCCAAGGCTCCCCTGTGGGTACAGTTCCATTCTTGAAGTGTCAATGTTGGGGAATATCTGTGGCCTGCGAGGCCCATCTCAGGTTTGGGGATCCCCCAGTCCCTATGTTCAGTGTTGGGGTACTTCCTGGGAGCCTACTTTCTTTGAGGCCCCAGCCCCTCCTTTAGCTACCCTTAAATGGGCGTTACCCTGTATTTATGGAAATAAAATTCCATTTCCTCAGTGTGGCTTGGCTCATTTCCAGGTGAGGGGACCTGGCTCCCCAAAAAGGGTGGGAATGGAGAGCCTGAGGCCTGGGTGCCCGGATGCCTGGTCTGGGGTGGGAGCCCCTGGTGTTTCCGCTCTCTCAATGCCCATTCTGTGTGGGTTCCTGATTCTCTGTGGGTTCTTTCCTGCCGAGGACAATTCTCTTCCTGTCCCAGGCTGAGATTGGGGGGCTGAGCCCAGGGCCTCAGTGGTCTGTGCCCCAGCTTCATGAAGGAATGTCCTTGCCACCCCCAGGCCAGCCCAGGGGGCTCAGGGTCAGGGTAAGCATTTCTTGGAGCCCCTTTCCAACCTTTGTAGACCAGAGCTGGTGAGGGGCCGGACAATGAGCCTCCTCTTCCTTGAAAGGAGGAATTTTGACAGAGACAATAGGGCCCTGTCTACTCTGGCAGAGGGGGCGGTGGCTGACTCAACTGTGCCCCCTCCCAGGCCCTGACAAATGTCATCAAGAAATGGGGTCCGTTTTCCCCTAGTGCCCTGGGTTGCCCCCTGCCCCTCTGTGATGACTTCCCTTCTTTCTTTCCTCAACTGATCTTGCCTCTTCTCCCATGACCTGACCCCACTTTGTTCTCTGCCAGCTCTTTCCCTGCCCCCCAGTTCTCCCCCAGTCTGTGTTGGGTTTAAGGGGGAGGCTAGGGCCAAGGGTACTGGTAGTTATATAGCAAGTAGCCTCTGCTGATTTGGGGGGTCCAGAAAGAAGGGGCCTCAGAAAGTTGGGAAGATACTTTTAGGGGGCCCTTTGCCTGGGTGGGGAAAGTGGTGGGACTTGGACCCCACTGAGCACACCAAGCTGGAGCTCTGGGGGGGCTGTGGGAGGGGGCAGGAATGGGAGGGCTCTGTGGCCAGCCCCTCCTCTCAGCAGCCAGCCTGCCCACCAGTCGAGCTGCTGCTGCTGAGGCTGGTGGGCCTGACTGTCCCAGAGAGAGGGAAAGGCAGGTGGGCATGGGATGTCAATGGGGAAAGTGGGGGTCATTTGGAGCCTTAGAGTGTGAGTTGGGGGTGCTGTCTGGGTGAGGGTGTATGTGATGGCATGGCGTGGGGGTGTGAGGGTGGTAGGAATGTGTTTAGGGTGTGGAGTTTGTGTGTGAGGAGGGAGGGGTGTAGTGGTGAATAACTAAGGTTTTGAAGGTAGGAAGATTAAGGTGGAAGCGGGCATGTTAGAGCTCAGAGGGTCATGAAGGGCAGGTAAGTGTGTGTGTAGAGGGGAGGGAGAGGTGTCGGGTGGGAGCCTGGTGCTGAAGGAAGGGTGCTGTTAGGTAAACATGCCCCCGTGTCCGACCCGGTGACTGGTGCAAGTGTGTGCAAATGAATGTGCTGTCGCCCTCAGAGGGCACCGCGGGCTGCGTGGGAGCGGCGGGACGGGCACCCTGAACCTCTCCTTCCTGCAGGCGGCAGTCTGGGGTCAGGAGGTCATGGGGTCCCGGGCTGAGCTGTGCACTCTCCTAAGCGGCCTCTCACTCCTCCTCCTGATGTCCGGCCACGGGTCCAAGGGTGGATCCCCCAGAGAGAGGTGACAACCAGGGGGCAGGGGCAGGGTGAGATGTTCAGGAAACCTGGGTGGGCCTCACAGGTGGCCAGCGAAGTCTGGAAAGGGGGGGAGGCCGCCACCTGAAGGGGGCTCCCAGGCCTGGCCCGCTCAGTGCCCCCACCTTCTCCCGCCCGGGCGCAGTCAGGGGGTCTGCTCCCAGCAGACGCTGCTGGTCCCGCTCCGTTACAACGAGTCCTACAGCCAACCCGTGTACAAGCCCTACCTGACCCTGTGCCCGGGCAGGCGCATCTGCAGCACCTACAGGTGAGGGATGGGGGGCTTGGGTCCCGGGGTCTTTCAAGAGGAACCCCAAGAACCCCGACCAGGACCATACGTCAGGGTCCGAGCCGGGCACTGTGCTCCAGGACCACATACCGCGTGGCGTGGCGGGAGGTGCGGCGGGAGGTGCGGCAGACGCACGCCGTGTGCTGCCAGGGATGGAAGAAGCGGCACCCGGGGGCGCTCACCTGTGAGGAAGGTGAGCTGGCTCTCCCCGGGCCTCGGGGAGGGGCGCCGGGCGGCTGGGAGCCCGCGGCCCGGTCCGAACGGCCCTCCGCGCCCGCAGCCATCTGCGCTAAGCCCTGCCTCCACGGAGGCGCCTGCCTGCGGCCGGACCGGTGCGAGTGCGCCCCCGGCTGGGGGGGGAAGCACTGCCACGTGGGTGAGTCGGATCGCCGCCCCCTCCGGCGCCGGGCCCCCCCGCCCCACCCCCCACCCCCCGGCGCCCGCCCGCCCCCCTCAGCCCTCCTCTCCCCGTGACCAGACGTGGATGAGTGCAGGGCCAGCGCCGCCCTCTGCTCGCACCGGTGCCTGAACACGGCCGGCAGCTTCACCTGCGGCTGCCCCCGCGGCCTGGTGCTGGGCCCGGACGGGCGCACCTGCCTGGAGGGGTCCCCGGAGCCCCCGACCGGCGCCAG